ATTTCCAGCTATTTGACAAAGATTAGCTAAATCAGTAAGAAAAATTTTCGGATAAATTGATGAATGTTTCAAATGAATATTATATTGTTCAATTAAAATTTCTCCTAATTGAATAGCACGATTAATATAATTAATACGTTGATTATCATTTAAATAATTATCATTTATAAGTTTTTGATAAACAAAAAACAGTTTTTCGCGTTCTTGTAATAATAATATTGAATTTTCATGTAATATTTGTTGAATATTTGATAATTTTTCTTCATAAATATCAATTGATTGTTCAGTATAATCAATAGTTGATATATTAACATAATCAATAATTTGTTCAGTTTGACAAGAATTATTTTTTGAAATACAATTAATTATTGAAAGATTTGGTTTCTGAGAATATAATTGTAATATTAATGAATTTCCACATATATAACATAAACGATTTGTAGCTGATTCATCATAACGATTACATAAATCATCATTACAATAAATACAATGACAATTAAAAAAAAAGAAACTAACAAATGTTCGACGTTGTATTCGATTTGGAACATATGTTAATGGACTTTTTAATCGAAAATCATTTTGATGACGATAACTAACTGTTAATTTATCAAATTCTAATGTTGTTTGAGGAATAATTTTATTTGAATCAGAAAATTTTAAACGCATATTTATATCATATGAACATTGAAGTAAATCTGGTTGACAACTATGATTAAAACGTGATGTTGTTAAATAAATAGCCCAACCAATAGCTAATCGTCCATTAAATAGATTTTCAATAAAACCAACACGAAATCTATTAATTAAAATTTTTCCAAATATTTCTAATAAATCAATATTATTAAATTTATCTTTAAATAATAATTCAATTTGTTTTATTGTTTTTAACCAAACATTTAAATGTCTATCAGAACAAATTATTTCATCTCGATGTCCTAAAAGATCATACCATGTTCGACGATCAATACTTTTTGGAACATTTATACATAAATCATGTTCAGGTTGACCACCATCTATATTTAAACGAGTTATTAATCGAGCTATCATACGAGGAATAACAAATTCTTCAAATTTTATTTCTTTTGAAAATTTTTTATAAGCTTCACATTCCAATTTATGATATATTTCATCACTTATTCGACATTTATCATTACAATAAACTATTATTTCACAATTTGGACATTTATTTGAAGCACATTTGAAACATGATGAACAACGATTTCTTAAATATTCTTCTTTCAATGATGATATATATGGAGATTCAATTATTATTGACATCTTTCTTCTTTTTTTTCTTTTTCTTAATTCAATTTCGATTGATACTTTTATTAATTAATAAACGTCAATCAATTCAACTTGTGTTTTATAATAAAACTAAAAAAACATCAAAATTTCAATTTTAATAAAATTCTCTTCTAATTATTTCAATTAATAAATTATATTTAAGAAAAACAAACGTAATTTTTTAATATTCTCAACAATCATTTTTAATTTGTTGATTTATTGTACATAGAATGAAATGTTATAGTGCATATTTAGAACTTTTATTAGTTAAGCATCTCTACTTTAGTATTTTTCTATTGATAAAAATTTTCATAAAACTTCATAATAATTGTTCTGTTTCTTTTTTGAAAGAATAGATATTATTTTATTGAGAAAAATCTAAATTGAAACAAACTATTATGATCGTAGATGTGTATGTATTCATTTCAATATAGATTTTATATTCGAAAACTAAATTATCAGATTAGTAATATTTTAACATTAGCAAACAAATATTTCTAAATATAATCAATACATTATGATAAACTATTGTGATTAAATCTTACACTTACCCTAGTAAATAAAGTAAATTGTTTTTTCTTTTTTTCTTCTCTCCATTATTTGTTAAAAAATAATGATATATTTATAGAAGTCTACTCAGATAATTCGTGCATTTACTTACATTTATCTTTCTATCTCATAGGCAAAACAAGTAAATAGTAGAATTTTCTTTTTAGATTTGTAATGATGACTAAACTAATATGTTATCTTTTATTTATTGTTGATAACCTACATTGTCATTATTTAAGGACTTTTTCGATATTAAACAATAATATTTATATTAAACATATTTTAAACAAAATTTTGTTTTATATTTAAATTCAAACAATTAAATAGTTCTTTTTATTCGATATAATATTGTTTTATTATTCATTTTCATTCAAAGACAATATGTTCAATTAAGAGAAAAATCATTACTTGCCAATAAATACTTTTCAATATATTTTATTTTATTAAATAAATATTCAAAAGAAAAACTCTTCTAACTTACATTGATAATGAAGAAAATATTCGACTTTTATCTTATTGAACATTTTGACTTACTCTTTTTACTCTATCGTGTTATTCTATGGAATCTTTCTTATAAAGCTTTTTTTTTTATCTAATTAACATATTTACACAAATAATATTTAATTATAATTATAATCAACGAAATCGATATATTATTTCAATATTTTACGAAAAATGTTTAAAATCGTCCCGTTTTATGACTAATAATGCATTCGATCAAGTCAACATTTATTTCTAATTTAATATTAGATAGAAAATGTTTTAGGTTGAGACTTTTTTCTTTTCTGAAAAACAAATATACCGATGATTTTTAGAACAATTTAAAAAAAAGAAAGTTTTCATTAAAAAGAATGTATTTATTGAAAATATTCTTTCGTTTTTTAGTTTGTTTTTCTATTCGAATCGAACGAAAGAAAACTAAAAACGAGAAAAAGTAATTACTTCAAAGAGTCATTAAGATTTCAAATAAATAAAAATTTTCATTCTATAAGATGTATTCCAATTGAGAGAACTCGATGATTACCTTGATGATCTATAATTATTCCAATCTCGACATTTTCATACAATTTAAACTCAAATAATTCCTGTTTGTTTTAAACTTATGCTTAGAATTTTAAACTATCCATCATAGTTATAACAACTCTGAAGGTATCTAGCATATTGTGTGAGACCTTATGTGACATCAAATACCAACATAAGGTAACAGGTGTAAGTGCTTAAAAAAACAAGGAACACACACCGAATTAAGTAGCATACATCAATAGTTATATAGCTTAAAATTTGAAGAGAAGTTTACAACTCGTAATGAATTAATTATTTGTATACAACGACTTAAGAGCCATTATATATAAGCCACGACCGAACGTGCTCAATCGAGATCGCCAGATTTTTCTCGTTTCAAGGTATATGATAGGGGGAACTGTTCTAAGAATTTTGACGAAAACCGTTTGAAAAAATATTGTTCCGTTCTTGAGATATTGAAATTTTTCTAAAGGCACTATTGTTTAAAAAAGTACATTTTTTGCGGTCTTTTGGATCGTTTATATTTCAGTGCAGAATCATTCATTTGTTTTTAAATTTTTATTGTAATTGTATCTCAAGTAGATGTACTCACCATAGAAATCAGCCATGTCAAAAGTGAACTATTGTTGAGTTAATCAATCATACTGAGTACACGAAAAAATTATCATTTTTGATATTTTGTGCATATATATATATATTTTATGAACAAATCATTTGAGGCAATTGAACTTCCACTTAGACAAAGATCTCATAGAATAACTAGTTTAGTAAAAATTTGAATTCACTAGCTAGTTCCTATGGCTTAGGAGATCATACGGAAAAGCATGAGTTTGATGAAAGTCTCGGTTTTTCGAAGGGCTTATTTCCGAAACTATGAAATGGATATAAGTCGAACTCCTATAGCTTCAAAGTACACATTGGGTGGTGCAACATTCCGTAAGAAGTCTCATGTGATCTTCAAGAAGAGTGTTGGGAACTCCATTGAAAGATATTGAAAACTGACCCATTTTCCATAGAAAATTGCACGGACTTCGCTCAAAATTATTAGAAATACTTCACCATATCAAAATGCTTTGTTAGTTTCCATAAAAATTTCTTCGAAAACAGAAAAGAAATTTTTTTTTTATGGAAACTAAGAAGATGTCATGTGCTGATTTCTCCTGAATAGAATTTATCTCATATGATGAAACACTCCGATGAATCTTGAGTCGAATTTGTGTCAAATCTCTATGTAAAAAGGATCATTTTTCAGTATCATTCGAGAAGGCTCCTGATGCCAATCTCAGAGATCCCACATGAATTCTTGAGTAACCTTGTACTATCTCATGTGTACTTTGAAGTCATATGAGTTTAACTTCTATCCATTTCATAGTTTCGGAGATAGGTCCTTCGAAAAACCGAGACTTTCATCAAATTCATGCTTTTCCGTATATTCTCCTAAGCCATAGGAACTAGCTAGTGAATTCAAATTTTTACTGAAGTAGTTATTCTATGAGATCTTTGTGTGGGTGAGAGTTCAATTGTCTCAAATGATTTTTTTATAAAATATATATATATGTACAAAATATCAAAAATGATGATTTTTTCGTGTACTCGGTATGATTGATTAACTGAACAATAGTTCACTTTTGACATGGCTGATTTCTATGATGAGTACATCTATTTGAGATACAATTACAATAAAAATTTCAAAACAAATGAATGATTCTGCACTGGAATATAAACGATCCAAAAAACCGCAAAAAATGTACTTTTTTAAACAATAGTGCCTTTAGAAAAATTTCAATATCTCGAGAGCGGAACAATATTTTTTCAAACGGCTTCCGTCAAAATTCTTAGAACAGTTCCCTCTATCATACACCTTCAAACGAGAAAAATCTGGCGACCTCGATTGAGCACGTTCGGTCGTGGCTTATATATAATGGCTCTTAAATGAAATAAATAATAATTGTCTTGTAATGACATCTATATTTAAATGAGGAAGAAAAAAGTCGAATATGGTTAAATACGATAAAATAATAATTGGCCAATGAATTCTTATGAAATAACTGGATATATTAGTAGGAAAGTGCAATAATGGCTATAAATAAAGCTAGTTTATTGTTTTAATTGTATTTTTAATTTTAGTTAAAAAAAAGATAAAAATGACAACAAAACGCGATTGGCATCATCAAGTTGAACATGAACGAAGTTTGTTATCATATTGATATTGATATTTGTTAATATGTAATAGAATAATTAATCTGAATTTGTTTAGTTCCAGCTAATGAAGTTTACGAAACGAATGATGGAAAAACAATTCGGGTTGAATATCGAGAAGAAAATGGAACTATTTATAAAGTATTTAATGTTTTTTTTTTATTTTTGATAAAAGAAAAGTATATTTTTATTTATGTTAGACAACAAAAACTTATCGAAATCAAAAATTAAAAGTTTTACCAATTGTTGCTGAACGAAAAAAATGGAAAAAATTTGGAAATGCTGCAAGTGATGCACCGGGTATAAATACAGCAACAACTAAAGTTGATGATGAAATAATAATGCAATTTATTTCAAATAAAGAAGTTTGGATTTTTTGTTTTTGAATAAATTAAATTTTTTTTTTGTTTTTGTTTTTTTAATTGTTATTAAGGATGATAAACAAGATGAAGAAAAACTTATTAAAGATGCTGTATCAACATTACGTAAAGTTCAATGTCGTTTATGTAAAGGTGAACATTGGACAACAAAATGTCCATATAAAGATAATCTTCAATCTTTTATGGATCAATCAACAGATAAAACAAGTATGACGTTTTTTCTTTTTCTTTTAATTATTTTATATAAAATAAAATAAAAAATCTGTTAAGGCGATAATACATCAACATCAGTTAATAATCCAACACCTCAAGGTCAAAATTCTTCAATGGTAACAACTGGTGAAACATCAACTGGTAAATGGGTTTCACAATCAGCACGTCGTGCTGGTGCAGGTACTGCTTATCCTGGTGATCAAAGAGGATCAACACGTGGAGGTTCTTATGCTGGTAGATCGAATGATATGAAAAAACAAGGTTTAACGTCTTTTATTTATTTATTTCTAATATTATTTTAATAAATAATAGATGAAGCAACTGTTCGAGTAACAAATTTACCTGAAGAAACTCAAGAACAAGATTTACGTGATTTATTTACTCCATTTGGTAGTGTCAGTCGAGTATTTTTAGCTAAAGATAAAACAAGCAATACATCAAAAGGTTTTGCTTTTATAACATTTAATGAAAAGAAAGATGCACAAAAAGCAATTGAATGTGTTTCGGGATTTGGTTATGATCATCTTATATTGAAAGTTGAATGGGCTAAGTAAATAATTATTAATATTTTATTTATTATTATTATATTTGTGTTTTTTTGTTAATTCTAGTAAACCACAAAATCAATAAACAAGATCATTGATTGTTTTTTTTTTGTTCGACTTTATTTTTCATAACGGTTTAAAAATGTTTTTATGAATAAATAAGTGAAGAACGATTTTGTTCGATTTGAGAAGAATATTCAATTATTTGATTAAGATAATTTCGATTTGGTGAAATAGTTGGACGAATATTTGATAATAATAAATAAGCTGATGATAATGTATGACCATCATGTTCAATTAAATAAGCTAAAACAACTAAAATAAAATTTTTTTGGTTTTTTTTTCAAATAATATTTTATTTTGATTTTTAAAACAAATAATTAATTTCTTTAAAAAAGATTATTAAATAAAATATCTTTGAATATTTTGAGTAAAAAATAAAAATAAAAAAAGTGAATATAAATATATATATAAATGAAAATATACTTGCAACTGATCTTGATCTTCCATGTTTACAAAAGACAAGACATCGTCCATTATTTTTTAAACGACATGTTTGAATAAATTGATTAGCTTGTTTTAAATAATTAATAATATATTCATCAAGTCTATCATGTAATGGTAAATGAAGAATTTCATAAGAATTATCAAGAATTATTTTCGTTAAACTTAAATTAACTAAATGTGTTATATTAAATTGTTCTAATAATAATGGTGTACATGCATCTTCTATTGAACCCAAATAAAGAAAATTATCAATTACTATTGACATATACTTTGTTTAATCGTATATATTTGAATTTGTTTTCATTATGTTTCTTTTTTGCTCTTAGTTTTTTTTTTTCTTTTTTTCGTTTCTTATCGTAAACGAGCATCTGTTACTAAAATAGAATCACGTGCTTTTGTGATATCGACAAGTATAAATAAAAGACACATACAACATATAGACCCTAACAATTTCATATTTATTCATTCGAACAGTTAAAAATTATTCGTTAAATTGATCTTAAAGAAATTATTTTATTTTGTTTTGTTTAAAATTGATATTGATAGAATAAAATTTGTTTATAATTAAAATAAGATTAAATTGAAAATAATATTTATAAAAATTGTTCAAAATTAATAATTATCATTTATTTTCTATATATTAAAATCATTAATTTTTATTCTATAAATAAATAATAAGTCAGTTAGGTTAGATTATATTCTTATTGAAGATTGTTCGAAAGATAGATTTTTTTTATTAGAAAAATACAAATAATATATATTAAATGAAGAGAAGAATTTGAACATAAAATATAACTTAAATAAATATATTTATTTAACAAAAACAAAAAATCTTTCTCTTGCTTATTGAATATTTAATTAAAATGATAATAACTAATTAGTTAAGATTGATATTCTGAATTAAATTAAATAAATATTAGTTTTTATTAATTAAACAAAGGTAAAAATGGAAATGATTTTAATTCAAATTGTTATATTTGTATGAATTGATATTAATTGAAACGATGATAAAATCGTTTTATTCTCTATTCGATTTTTTCAAATGAATATTTATTTAATTAAATCAAATCTGAATATTGTTATCAATTAAATAATAGATATCTATGATAAATATATTTCAATCAGACAATTCTATCATCTATTATTATAAATAGGTTTTTTTATATAAAGATATCTTTGTTTTTTGTGTTTTCTATATTGATTTTAATTCGTTTAAGATTTATATTTAATTGAATATGTTGATTGTTTTCCTCGAATTATCTCGCTCGCAGTTAAATAAATCTATTCAGTGTTTTTTTTTTTGTTTTATAAAATTGAATAGAAAACTATTAATTTAAAAGTGAATATTTACTTTATGAAATGAATATTTATCAAACAAATAGAAAAGCATTTATATCAGTTTTATTAGATATTATTCTTACGACTTTTTTTTTTCTTGTTCGAAAAAATAAAAATATTTAGAATTTGAAAAACAAAATTCATTTTATCATATATATTTATCTATATTATGTTTTTATATAATCAAACAATTATCGAACGAAATAAGAGATCTAATAAATTGATTTACATTCAACAGTTAATTTAAACAATAGATAATCAAACAAATTCTACAAGTCTTTTATTGTTTATTTATTTTTTCTTTTATTGAAAACAATACAATTGAGATAAAATAAATGATAGTCAATATTGATTTATCTGAATAAAGTTAACTTCCCTAGATAAATTCAATAATAATAGTGTCTATAAATAAGACGTTAATCTATTTTGATAATTTAAAGTCTTTCGATTAATTTTGATTTGTGAATAAATCAAAATAAGATATATCGGTCAATATTGAATTAGTACCAAAGATAGAATTTTACTATAGTCATATATATATATATAACATAGAAAGCAACGAATAGTTCTTAACAATTGACAATAAATAATTGTTGTTAACAGTTTTGCTTTTTCTATAGAAAATTTCAAAATGATAATTGAAAATAAAAAAAATGCAAGGAATACTACTCGTTTATGAAAATATTAATTTATTAATTAATCTATATATTATAGAGCAAACTATTGATAAATTATAAGATTTTTATTATTATCAATATTAATTCATAATAGATATTATCTTTTATCAAACAAAAACAAATATTTCATTTACAATTCTTATATGATTATGAAACCAATGAATAATTCAATAAATATATTTTAAATCAATTTATTCCCTAGACTGAAAGACTAGGGTCTAGAAACCGAAATTCACCTGTGTCTGTCTGTCAGTAATGCGGTCAAAATGGCCATTTTTTTGGCACATGTGACCATCTAAAGAGTGATGTAAATGAACCCATAATAATCATCGGTAAAATGTCAATGAAATAACTATAATTCGGGTAGTGGTGTAAAACGGCTTACAAAAGCATTTAATTAGTGAGAGTCAGAGCAAATGAGCAGTATGGATTTAAAGAAATCGTTTAAATTATTCATTATTGTAGGATTGATTGTGGAATGTTGTATCAATGAATATCTAATTTATTAATAGTTTAGAATTAATGCGCGAATTTAAGCATAAAATATTGATTAATAAAACTCAAATTTTATGAATAATATAATTCATATTTTTGTACGTACAAATAGCGCCAATATAATTACAAAAAAAATCGTATTCTTGTCTAATCTTATTAGGCACTATTTATATTTATAAAAGCAAAAAAAAATAAAACAAAAACGAGAAAAAAAATTAAATTTGTAAAATGCATTATCTTTACTTAGAGTGAGAATTCTCCAAATTAAGTTTTCTGCTCGTCTAATATATACTGGTCATATTATCAATTTGGCGTATTACTTTTTTAATGTAGCTTTTTATGCTATTACATTCGTACATCTATTCTATCAGTCTAGGGCTAAGTGAATCGCTTGACGATGAACGTTTCTTGTTTATTAGAACATTTTTCAATATAAATTTTTTTCTTTTTCTTTTTCTTTTGTTACAAGTCTAATTAATGAGAATGATTAAAACTGAATGATAATAAATAATCGAAATAATAATTTCGTCAATATATAAGATTATTTCTGACAGTTTTAATATATATTCAATTGTTTGATTATCATTTATTAATATTAATTCTAGTTTATTTCTAATATGTTTAATCGTTTATAATATATATTCAATAAGTTAAAATAAAATATTATTTTCATATTTTAAAATCATGTTAATCATTCAAGAATTTGTTGTTTTTTCTGTTCGAACAAATATATTATTAATAAATATTAGATCGATATTAATATTCAAACTAAAATAGTTTTTATTGATTAATAATGAAGAAATCAATAAATGAGAATATTCTTTTTAACAATATAATATTATCAATTATCAATTATATATATATTTGAATAAATCTAAACAATAGATAATATATATATCTATAATAAGACACTCATTGACAAATATATTCAACAAGATTTATTTTCAATATTAATATATTGTCATCGAAGAGAAATATTAAATGAAATAGTTATATTTTTCTTGAGAATATCATTTTGAAGAAGAATTTTTTTCATAAAACAATATTATATTGAAATATTTTAACAAGAATATTATTTATCAATAAATCAATATAGAATTTAGAGATTTTATAGAGAAATGATATTGATATTGATCCATAAGACGGTTAGCTAATTAAATAATGTTTACATAGACAAATGATTAGATAAAACAAAAAAAAACGAAGTAAATATTCTCTCTTACAAAATCTTAATCTATCTCATTCGATAAACATTGAAAAGACCTGAATAAAAATATTATCTTCGAGAAATTTGTTTTATCTATTATATTGAATAATTCAAAGTGAATATCATCATAGAAATAATTCCAAGTAGAATTTATATTTTTTTTCGAAAATTCTTATTAATATTCATCTTTAACAATTTAACTTGAGAAAAAAGAGCTGCTCGAATTCTATAAGAACTATTTATAAATAAATCTATGATTATTAAGAATAAAATTCACAAATGATTTATCAGTGAATATAGACTTTGGAAACATTTTTTTTTTCTTGTGAAATGATAATTAACTTTTTCAAAACTATTTCAAAAACAAAAAAAACAAAAATCTAGGTAATTTACTATTATAAATAAAGTTAATATAAATTAGTAATGACTAAATATTATCTGGTGATAAATTCTTTGAAATAAATTTAAAAGTAAAAATTCTTTGTTTTTTCTATAAATAAAATAAATCAATTATTTATCTTAGTATCGATGATCGACATTGTTTTTCCAAAGTCAATCAGAACTTAAATAAGATCAATCAAGAAAATAATTCTAAATCGATATTTTACTTTTACTTTTATTTTATCTTAGAGAAAATATCACTTATAACACTCTTTTTCCGATCACTTTTTAAAACGAGTATATATCTCTTTTCTTTTTTTTTCTTATCATGATGATGATGGTGATGGTGGTCTATATTTATCAATAATAATAAGATACATTATTCTAGAATAAAAACGTTTTCTTCTTTTTCTTGTGTGAAAAAAAGTTGTTTTCTGTATTGTAGTTAATGATAATAATTTTAGTTTAGTTGTAAATTACCCTCCAGGGTTGATTATTGTTCTGGCGTTAAATCTTGATAATAATTAGTAACTTTATATATATAATATATTGCGAGTAATTTTCTGTGTTTTTTTTTCTTTCAACGAATCTTTGGTATGTCTATGTTAAAAATATTTTTCTTTGTGTAAAAAAGCAGAAAAATAAAAAGAAAAGACAGAAAGGAAGGAAGGGGAAAAGAAAATGAGTAAATAACGTTTTGCTAATCGATCGGAAATGGTATTAGTAGTAAAAGCATGATTCTTGTTGAGATTTATTCGTTAAATATTAGTGAAAAGCACTTGGACATAAAGAGAAAAGTCAAATAGTATCGTTTTTCTCTTTCTCTTTCGCTTTCGCTTTTATTATTTTTCTAATGAATTCTTCTATGAATCGTTTCAATAAAATCGAAGGATTTTATCAATACTACATCAATTGTTTATTATATAGAGTAATTATTTCTATCATAATCATGTTCAATACGATATGAATAAGCAAGAATATAATATAAAGTAGTTGACTATTTTCAAATAAATATATTTGAAAGTTCTGTATAATAGTAAATATATTGTTTGTTTTTATCTTGTTGGTTATTAGTTGTATGAATGTCATTATTAATAAATAAAGTTGATTTAATCGATATAGCATGACGAAATAATAGATGATATGATAGATGCACGAATTCTGTCT